AAGACCTCATTTAAATTTTTTGGATATCTTTACTGGTTTAGCGGGAATACGGTTTCAAAATTTTACTCTGCTGCTGCACGAAATAAGGTGTGAGCCACTGTATGTATGTATTTAGATAAATATAAACTTTGTATAGATGTGTATGAATGCACATCTTGTATATAAACATGTGTTTATTTATATAAATTGATATATATTTATCTGCAACCCTTGACCCAAAAAATGGTTGCCAAATTCTTAATAAGTAAACCTTCTTCCATTTGCCGGTTGTACAATAAACGCACAAACAATAATGCTTCACGCTAAGGAGACGACATCACAACTGCTTTAGCTCAAAAGCCATTGGTGCGAACGAGATGAATAATATGACGCTCACGTACAAACGTGTATTTTAATGTCTACACGTATGTAATATTAAAAAAAAATAATAATAAGTACACAAAGAAAACACTGTTTTCTTTCATATATTAGCATCTGATGCTTGTGCTTTTTATTTGTAATTCAAAGCAAATAGGCAACCCAAAATTAATACAGATGTAAATTTATACAATGTTATACATATACATGTATGTACATCTGCATACAGTAGTATTCATGTATGCCTTAATATTGCAGCAAAGAGAATAAATTCAATACCCACACATCAAATATTTTACAGAGTATCAAAACCGAAGTCAACAAAATTTTATTGCACTTCAAATATTGTACTAAATTTGCCACGTTTTAATGAAAATTCACATAATTTGTTAGCGGGCATGCCTTAGTCCGACATTGCAATTGTGTATAATCCTGACTTTTCTTGAAAGTGTACACACAACAATCGAATTTTAATAATATAAACGAGTCTGTTGCTTTTTTTTTTTTTTTAATAATTAGAAAATTGCCGTCGACATTAATCAATCGAATACACTTCAGTTTTCTTTTCGTATCTCAACAAATGTATGTGGAATACTAATAAAATGTATTTGTACTTACATTTTGGTTTTGAAAATTCGACCTATTTTGGTTGCCGCCACGATTACGGTTACGATTTCCACCTCCGCCAAATCCACCCTTGTTGCCAAAGTTCTTATTTTGATTCTGGCCGCCGCCATTCTGATTGTTAGGCCCAAAACGTTGCCGCTTCTCCGCGGGACCCCCATCTGCATCATTTTGCTTTTGTGGGCCGTGTTTTCCGATATTTTTGTTAGGTTGATTATTTGTTCTTGCTTGACGCTGTGGTAGAGGTGCTGAATTGCCAGAATTATCCATTTTTGCGGATATTTCCATTTCAATATTGAAGAAAAATCGTTTGACGGCTCCAATTACACAACCGCCTTGCTCCGTACAGAAACTAAAGCGTAATGAAATGATACTAATTGTGGAACGAAAACGTTCTATACCATCAGGGTTGCCTTTTCATGTATCGATATATGCTAGCGATGTGAGACGCCAGGATGTTATCGATCTTAAAATGACTAGTCAGCGATTTTTTGCTTAAAAAAAGCTTGTGTGATTTAACAACACAGATAACCTGCCGAGTCTCAAGCACTGCAAATTAACATTACATAGAACTTTTTTTTTTTTTAATTTAAACTTGAAGTTTATATACAAAAATTATTATTTTAGAATTTCGATAAGTAAAAAATAATTGTTTTTGAAGTGGGATGTCCAGCACTCTTAGGCAATCTATATATATATATATATATATATATAAAAAAACATGAATATTCAGATAAATACTATCACTGACCAAACTGTTGTTGGGCAGTGATACTATATATTAATATTAGCTGGGCTTACCAAAATCATAAAATCCCCTTCTCATATACTTAAGGTAAACTTCGACCGGCAAATTCAAAAGCTTGCGACGAAACCCCTCTAGTATTATCAAAGTTGCGCAGGTCAGGACTTTTAACTACGATAATGCATTATAGAGCAATAAATATGAATAAATGAAACACTTACGGTTGCAAATACAACATAGTAGACAAGAGTAGTTGGAAAAAGAAAGAGTATTGCAGAAAAGAATATAGTTGCCAGATATAGCTGGCGATTCATATAGTTGTGTGCTTCAATTCTATCTAAAGGAAATTAATATAATATTTATACTTAAGTCTTTTCATCCATTTTTAATTTTCTTACTTCTCAAGATGTTATAACGATTGCCTCGTACCACTTGCCATAATACTGTGAGTCCCTTAACTTCTACATTATTTAAACTGTAGGAAGAGATCAGGTATGTGAATCTAATCTGAAATAATAATAAACTTCGCTCTTACACTTTGGTATACACATAAAAACAATGAGCATGTAATCCAACAATTGATATTAGATCCGCAAGCAGCGCAATTTGATACGTAAACCCTAGACATCCAAAAGCTCCAATTGCAAGAAACACCTGACGTACAATTGGTTCAATTAAATCTGAAATGTAATTTTAAAGTAATTGATAAGAGCCTCAATTCTGTGTGCACCTAGAGATTACCCAAAAAGGTTGACCACAATTCAATGTGATATTTAAAGCAATCAAGGAAAAAATTGTTAAGATGTATGTTGAGCTTTAGGCCAATGGGGCTACCCTCCAAAACTTTCAATAAGCTATATAGCTGTTGTATGATAATCTGTAAATAATAAATTGCTTAAAAACATAATACATTTAATTGAAATACAAACTTACATGGGAGATTTGTATTAGAAAATCACCTGGATGTGAGACAAGTGTAAACAATATCAACATCAGTATGATACCCAATGCACGATCTATCGTGATATTTGTCAGCCTAGAACTTATTATAAACAAAAAGTTGAGAAATGTGGGTTAAATAAATATATTATAGACATCTTACCCTGTTGCGTATATAGATTGCCATTCCTTATAGTGCTTATATGTGACTGTATGGGTTATAATGCTATTTACAAATGCGTTTTCAACAATATGCTTAAATAATTGCATGGGAATGTTTGCTAACAAATATAATGACTGATTGCTATAAAACCAGATATCTTTTGATTTTCGTACTGGATCTGGCGTGGGTTGCACCAGCTGGGCTAACGTATAGAAATCGCATTCGTCATTAACATGACTTTTCCTTGTCCAATGGGCTTGCTCTTTAATTACAAGACTAAGTAGCGTTTTTTTACCATAAAGAATCAATTTGATTTGATTGAGGCGGTCAGGTATAATGGCAGTAAACATAAGCGCAATGTTTGGCGAATCGTTTGTGTAGGTGAAGCATATGCTCATGTCATGCGAACGACAATAATTCCTATCTTCGTAGGAGTCGTTACATAAAATTGATCCCAGGAAACGCATTTTATGTGTGTGCAACTCGAACTTATTGCTGTCTGCCTCAATGACGTAGTAGACGATGACATTGTCTTCGCTAATGTGCAACTGACCGTATAAATGACAAGAACTTTTTTGATAAAAGTATTCCGTAGGTAAGAATATTTTTATACTCATTGTTTTTAATTATATTACCGGTATTAACTGAACTGAAAATACAAAAGAAAATGATTAAGGTATTATTTATGTATATTTCGATAGCGGTTAACATCGAGTCGTATCGATATATTTTGAGATGGGATGCCTATGCATCTCTGATCTGTGTTTGTGTTTCAGTTCACCATTTCATATTCTTCATTTCTCACGTGTTCTGTTTTATATCGTTTCGCAGATATTTATTGACATACACATTCGCATTTTAAAGGGATACATATTTTGTCGGCTTTTGTTTTATAGTTAAAATTTTTTTTTTCGTGTAAAAAGATTTTTGTGCAAATATTGTAATGGGATATGATGGTAAGTTGCAATTTTGTGACGTGATGCCCATGGTTTAATCAGATGTACATATGTATACTCCAATGTGCTTAAGTTCAGGCTTCGGCTAATTTACAGATGAATGCATATACATACATACGTATATATACGTATACATAGGTATAGGTTTACATAAATAGAATAGGCAACTGTATTAATGCTTGCCAATTTAGATTGCCCATGTGTATTTACTATAACATTAGAAACTGTTTATTTGGAAGTGATCAAATTATACTCACATTAATCGTTTGGCATTCTCACCGGCCGACATATTGGGCGCTATACACATATGTACATATTTACATACACATGCATGTTTTTATGTATGCATAGGTGATAGATTTTCGTTTTTGTTATCCTCGCTTTTGATTACATTTTGCGAGAAGCAGTCAACATGCGACATATTGCATACTTTTTTCCCACCAAAATAATCGCGTTGCATATGACAATGGGACAATTTTCACTATGCGTATATAGTAAATATAAACTTGTACTGGTTAGTGCGTGTGGGTCAGGAGAGGATGTGTACATGGATTGATATAAGTAATTACGAGTGAATACCCTTTTCGTACTATTTAATTTAACTTATGCCTTTCATAGCATTAATTTAAAAACTATAAGTGCACGGATTAAAGTTTGTATACATATTTGTGCGAACGTGTACAGTACCTTCAAGAACTAAGCGTCATAAAAAAGAGACTCATAAATATATACATATAATATAATATAATACAAGCATAAAAAAAGATTTGCAAATACAATGGAATCCGTTCATAACGACTCTGCTTAAAGCGTTCAACCGGCTATGTCGAAAATTCGATGTGTCGGTCCCCATACAAACTTACATAGTATATGAAAAAGCCTCCCTTAGTACGTTTCCTCTTTTAATGACAAACAGCTTATCCCGACGATTTTTTTCATATTTTTCAGTCATTCACCGGTTATTACGGCGTGCCAAAAAAAAAAAAAAAAACAAAAAAAAAAAAAAAAA